GAAATATAAAGTAACTCTTGCTCACAAACAAAATTAAGGTAATAATTAGTGGGACTAAGAATATGAATTTATAAAGGTTACTTTCCTGTAGTAAAGTTTTCACAAAATTTCTGACCTAAGTTATCTTGGGATAGTAAGAGAAGTAGTGAATTTATGTAATCACTCTTATGGTAGAACACTATCACCATCTGAAATGTGATGACCATATGTATAATTTCTTTTGTTACTTAGGAATGCCCACACTTTAGCATGGTAAACGTTATTGTTTATAATTAATCAATATTTTATTGTTATCTATTGTTTTATTGTGTTAGAAAATATTTTATGGCATTTAATACTTTCAAGTAATTATGTAATATTATATTTTCATTGTGTTCAGTGAGATGATGATTTTGGCAACCAAATAATAATTGTGTTGAACATGAAAGTGGACCATAGTGATGGTTTTATGTCAAACATGTGTTGAAAAATCAATATGTACCCATATTTAGGTTCCTCAAAGCATGTACAATGATTTATGAAGGTTTAAGGTAGCTAGACTGCACAAAAGCCAAACACAGTAGCCACATGGTCTAAGGCATGTATACCATTGTCACCCACTTGAAGACTGGGGTCATGGGTTCAAATCCCACTTGAGGCATGGATGTCTGTGTTTGTTTATTCTGTGTGTAGGTAGCAGCCTTGCAATGGGCTGATCCTCCATCCAAAGAGTCCTACCGACTCTGTATAAGATTAAGAAACTGAAAAAGCGGCCAAGATCCAAAGGGCTATAGAGCCACAGAGAGAGAAAGAGAGACTGCACAAAGCCAAAAATATTTTGTCAGCTGGCTCCAGTGTTCCATGTGAGCCATGTCTGATAGTGAGAGAATGTGCTCATATAAGAGGTGACTGATGTTGCTGGTGATGAGTGTATTAAAATATAAATGTACATGAGAGAGAAGGTCCAGCTTACTTTCAAATATTGATACCGTTTATAATAATCTGTTTATTAAACAACTTTTTGATTCTTGCTGTTCTGTGTTTGTCATACTGGAATGTCTTGTTTTCCATCCTCATTTTGCTTATATCATTGTAGTAATCCATATTTATGGAAAGAAGAAGTAGGTGATATTTTGCATAAAGTGCATGATATTTGCTTCATGATTGATGCATGGGGCTATTCTTTGTATTCAAGAGGTTCTTACACATGAATCCAGTGGCTTGTTATTGTGACTGTGAATCTAATTGATTTCTTCAGTCACATTAGGGAAGTACTGGGACATTGTTGTGAAATATGTAATGACATTTTAATTAATTTCTTTACTGTCTCTTACCTCATTATCATTCTACAGGGTTAATGACTTGGAAGTGGCCCCAAATTAACAGTTATAAATCATGCAGTAATTTACTGATGGAAATAAAACTTAATGAGTAAATACCTTGATAGATGTGGAGATAATTTGGTTACAGAAGATGTTTAAATTGATTGCCTTCTGCCTGGAAATGTATGCCTGTGTCTGTAGGCAGAAGGCAACCCATTTAAACGTCTTCTGCATCTCTGTTATCACCACACATGTCAAGGTACATACCTGCCAAGTTTCGTTTCCATCAGTATATTATTGTGTGGTTTACAGTTGTTAATTTTGGGCCTACACAGAGACAATCATACTGTATCATCACTCTGATTCAAAGCATGATTGTTGAAAATATAATCATAAATGTATTGTGGATATGAAGTAGGGGAATCACAACCCTTGAGGAAGAGTTTATTCCTGTAAATAACATTTATGTGATATGCAGCCGTTTACAATAATTTGTTAAACACAGTTACAAAAATTTTGTGAAAGAAAGTTATCCCCGGATGTTCGTATCTGGAGTTAAGAATTTCAAATTTACAGTATTTTGCAAAGATGTCAAAACTTAAACCTTGATTTAGAAAATGTCCAGGCACTAAGTTGACATATATCAGTTCAGGTTATATACTAATTTTGGCCATGAGTTTCATAAGCACAATTGCTTATGTAAGATTTGAGGCTTTCACGGCGGTGATTATGAAGAAAGTAGTCTTCTGGGATTTGGCACCGTGTGTATGTGGTGTTAACCGACGTTTCAGAGGAACGTATCGCCTCCGTCTTCAGGGTAGAAGGAAAAATATAAGAAATCTGCAAGCGAAGAGACCGTGAGAACCAGTAAAAGCAGACTGGTGTTGGAAATATACACAGCTATGTGAGAGCAAAGAAGGAAGGGAGGAAGGGCAAGTATACAAGTGAAATCAGTAGTGTGGGAGGGGGAGGGGAAGGAGCTGGGACAAGCAGGGTTTTTTGTGTTGGGGGAGAGAAAGGCAAGGTTAAAGGCTGGGCACTAACCCTTATGCTGGAGGGGGGGTTGTTATGTTAGTCGATCATGGCCTGTGTAGCCTTCTGGATCTGGCGTCATATNGTTAAAAAAAGTTTTTGAACTTCACTGGTGTAGTGCTTGTTCTTGTCCTTCGTAGATCTCATCATTTCATGTTAGAGATTCGTATCCTTGCAATAAGACTTTTTTCATAATATTGTGGCGTGCACGCCTATGGTCGGAATATTTGGAATGAGAACGTATCCACTTCTATGCAACGGCTAGCAATTCCTAGATAGCGAAGCCTGGGAAATCGTTGTCCCGGAAATGAAATTCTACCAATGGTGTTTCCGCCGTTGCAAGTGAATTGTTTGAGGCAGACACATATTCCCGCTTTCATCGCGTAGCAGCGGACGAAATTAACCTTCGACAAGCTGAAGAACGCAGTCTTCTGGGATTTGGCACCGTGTATATGTGGTGTTAACCGATGTGTCGGAGGAACGTAAAAGCAGACACCAGACTGGTGCTTTTACCGGTTCTCACGGTATCTTCGCTTGCGGATTTCTTATATTTTTCCTTCTACCCTGAAGCTGGAGGCGATACATTCTTCCGAAACTNCTTATATTTTTCCTTCTACCCTGAAGCTGGAGGCGATACATTCCTCTGAAACGTTGGTCAACAGCACATATACACGGTGCCAAATCCCATAAGACTGCTTTCTTCACAATTGCTTATGTTTTCTTCACAGAGCAATTGTAAACGTTTTGAGCTTGAAGTCAGTCCACTTAATTTATGACTGTGGCCATGAAGTGACCATTAATTATAATGGAATGCTTCTGAAGGGAGTACATGTACTGAAAGCTACATTTCATTTAAACCTGTGTTGTTGACTTACATTTTGGTCATTTTGTCTTTAGACTTTTTTCAATTAAATAAATTTTCTCAAAAACAGATACTTTATTCTAAATATTTATTTGAACCCATAAACCATTCCCACCCTAATACACACTTCTATTAAAATCAGCAGCTGTGGTTATATAGCATTATTTAAGGGTTGTCCAGTAAGTATTGTCAGTTCTTGGTAGTGTTAATAGTGATGTAATTGTTCAATTTTTCATCACAGTTTTCCTTATTGAAAAATTAAAGACATCTTTCATTTCAGAAGCATTAAGAAGAGTGTTTAATGACACATGAACACAATACATATTGTAATGTGTTTCATTACTGAATACGCCGTAGAGATTGTTAATTGGTTTATTGAACAATCTACAAGTATGGGCTACAATTAATTATAACAATGTTACGGGTTTCCACACTTTACAAACCCTACAACAAAATCTCTTAACACTATCTTCAAGAGTCTTCGCGTACTAATAACGCGGGAGCTATACAAGTCTCCCTGAATTACACACTCCAGATATAACTGGTTATCACGAACTATCACTGATTCTCGCACACGCGTCTGTAGCTCGTAACTTGCGAACTGAGAACTCCTTGATAACACACTGACTCTCGCTTGCTGCTCAACCGGCTTTTATTCCGTTCGCTGTTGCTAGTGTGACGTGGCATATAGCCTAGCAACGCTGTTACCCCTTGGTGACATCATCGCTGTTGACTCGCTTTGCATAGCTTCAAGGTTGCGGGGACTCGGCTAACTTCGGCTCCGCTCGTGACGTCACCGCGGGGAGAGTGGGGGGTGATGACTCGCCTATTACACGAGCGCTACATTACCGCTACGTGCCGCTGGGGAGGTAGGGGTCAACATGTCACAATATTAAGTATGGTGCATATAGGTACATGAAAGTATTTCTGAGGAAACTTTAACCATGCCAAAGAGCTTTATCATTTTTAAGATCCAAGTGTAAAGACTGGTGGTTCATAAGGCTTAGGTTAGTGATGAAAACACAGGGATAAAGTCTTCATGTAGTAGAGTTTCTTCTTGAAATAACTGTATTTCTAACAGTCACTCCTTGTTCATTTAATATCCCTAGCTGATTTAATTCAATTTAAATTAAATTTGTTTAAAAATTATGCCAACTTTGTACCATGAAGAACCACAATTTCGTTTTTGACTACAGTTTTTTGTTCTTATAAATCATGATTAGGTGAATTTACAGTTAATGCATAAGTGTTATTGACCGTAAGCACTGTCACTGTTAATATATCAAGGCTTTAAAATTGTGGGGAAGAACATGTTTGACAGTTGGTTGCAGAGGTAAGGGTTATCATAAAAGAGGTAAAGCTATCCCTGTAACAGGCCGTGGAAGTCCATAGGGGTCTGAGACATCAAGGCTCCCACGTTTTCTAGACAGTCTGCCCATAAATAGTGGTGAGGTTGTCGGCCTTATATGCTGCCCACCCTTTACCCCGAGGAAGATTTATTATACTCATTTCTGTTAGTGACTAAGTTGATCCCGGGGCCATAGTGCAGCTGAAGCTTTAGGTCAATTGAAAAATCCAATGACCTCATTGGCAATCAAACCCACAATCTTCTGGCTTGTAGCATAGTGCCTTAACCAACTTCTGAAAAATGTGGATTTAGGTTCAGTATTGCATTTTGAACACTGATATGTTAATACATATCTTCTGAGCTTGAAAAGGAAGAGTGCAGATTAGAAGATAGTGTATTTGACTGTCAGCTTGCTGTTATTCATAACCTTTAAAAAAATGTATCTAAATTATTCCAGTTGCCATAGTCCCAACATATCGGTTCTGGATCACATGAACTTCTACCAAGTGATTGTTATTGGTGCAGGAATTGCTGGTCTTGCGGCTGCTAAAACTTTGATAGACAATGGACTTCAGGATTTGAAAATTCTAGAAGGTGAGCAAAATATTTCGAACCTATTAAAATCCTCATTTTGAATGCCAATGTTTCCTTTGTAGCAACTCGTTCAGTTCATATCATTTCATTCTGTTTTATTAAGGTCCATTGTAATGCTCTCATTCCATCTACCATGGTCTAAGTAATTTTTCCAAACATTTCTTTACCAAATATTGTATTTATTTCTTATTTTCTGTCATATCTGCTGCAGTTCTACATTATGTCAGTCTTGTTTTTATATATTATATATTTATATATTATTATATATTATGTATTTTAACCTTCAGTTTTATGAAAACAGGAAGAGAGAAAACATTTTAAAATTGAATATGAAATGAACTTATTTTAATTTTAGTTTCAGCAGAAACTCAGTTCCTTTATGTTGACAATTCTGGATACTTCAGTTTTTGCACATTTTGAGAAACCTGTACAGTACTGTGGCGTATTTGCTGAAAGCAAGAGCAGTGGAGGCAAAGAAACACCCATTGCTAGGTAATGGCCCATATACATGCTGCAGAAGAACACGTCACATACACTGACATCACGCAACAGTAGAAGAGGTAGATTCTAGAAGGTTCTGATGATGGTGTGTAACACTCAGAATTACTAGATTTTTGTACTTTTTCCATCATCAAGTATTCTAGAAGTTTGAAAACACAGCATTTTGGAAACTGGATCTGTTTCCGTCCTCAGGTGAGTGGGGAAAGACACATACTCAGTTGGGTCCCTAAGATAGAGCTAACCTCTGTCAGATTCACACAGCTGACAGGGGTTATCCAATAACTGAGGTTAGGTTTTCCCAGAGGGACCCAACTGAGTGGGTGTCTTTCCCCCCTCACCTGAGGATGGAAACAGATCCAGTATCTGAAATGTTGTGTTATTTAGTTTCTAGAATACTGGATAAACACACTACACTAGAGGAAGCAGTGTTTTCTGTGGGTCCACCCTGAGGCTATAAAATGAGGATCTCGAGCAGCTAGAAGTAGAATTGAGTCTAGTTTGGAAGTTGGCAGTCGCAGCATAGAATTGATAGAGTTGGCAGTCAAAGGTGATCAAGAAGAAATGGCAAGAAAGGAATTATAATGTGCAAAGAAGACTTCATGTATGCTGCAGTGACAGTGAGATTGTTATAAATCTGTTGCCAGAATATGACTAATGAAGACCAAGCACACTAGTGTATGCAGCAGTGAACTGTAAAGTGTAGATCAGCAATAGTGCTGTATGACTTATAGTTACAAGTTGAATGTACGAGTATAAGGTGTCAATAAATCCAATCATCCAATCCAAAGCCCATCTATTATAAGTCATTCACACACTTCCAAATACATGATAGTACCTATTGTGTTTGGTTATAGCCCTGCAATTTAATTATGAAACTTGTTCATGCGATGCCTGAAAGTTAAAAGTTGGACTACACGTTGAAAAGACAGTCACTAACTACATAGTCTCAAGCATCTCTTGAAACATTCATGGAAGTAATTTTGAGAAAGTCCTTTCACTCTCTTTATCAGTCACTTTTTTTTAATGAATCTGGTTTTTCCAGCAGTCTTGCTGAAGTGCCTGTGTGCATTAATTTTGTTGTAATGTTTCTGTCAAAGAGGCAGATCACTGTACCAGTAAGATTCTTACAGCAATCATAAAACAAACTAAATCCCAACTACTGCTTTATACATACTTGATAAATCAAACATGGTCCAGTAGGCACAAATTCACTTACAAAACAAAGATATCAGTCTGATTATTTCATTTTTGTAATAACAATATTTACTGTTTTTAAAAATGCCTCTGTTTAATTACTCTGGGACAGCTGCAATTATGATGTTAAATTGACATGACCAGCATGTGCTTGAAATTGATTTATGCTCTTGGCAGATTAGTTTCTCCTGATTCTTGTGGTCTTTGCTCCTGGCTTACTATAGACCAAGGGTTCCCAAACAATTTTGGGCCATGGACAGTTTACTTCAAGGATTTTCTCTGGTGAATTCCCTGAATATTGAATTAATTATTTTAAGAATTTTAAATGGAATGCAAGTGAAATATAGTCAGCAGTAACATCTCCATTACTCTTAAAATGAAAAGAATGTACAGATTTTAATATGACAGTTACATGTGCCTTTATTCATAAATGGAGGACCTTCTTCAAGATGGAGGGAGACCACTTAAAATTTTTCCCAGAATGGTGGTAGTCTGTGGACCATGAGTCAGGGAAAATCTGTTCTAGACAATGTGAATGCATTGTCAGTTTTCCTCAAGGAAGGCATAACAACTGAGGACAAATCATTTGATATTATTTTTTATTTAGCACAGGATCATCCTGGAGGGCGAATCAGCTCTGTGTTCCTGAATGGAAGCTGGATAGAAGTTGGAGCACAGTGGATCCATGGGCAGAATAACGAAGTCTGGAAACTTGCACACAAGTATGACTTGCTCTCCACTGTTACATCATCTGAGGGAGAGGGTAAGAACTTAATAAATTAAAACATTTCTCCCTTAAAATAAAATGCATTCATATCTTATATTTAATTACAATACAGACAAACAAATCTCAATGCAATATATTGTTACACATATGAACATTGCTAGGCAATGGCTCAGTAAAAACATTCCATAAGTTATGTTCTTAACAATAGGACATCCCTTTATGGCTATCAGACCAATAAGAACATGGCTGTAACAATACATGACGAGAATGAAAGTTTTTCTATGTGGTCCGCACCGAGATTGTTTACTTGGCATGCAACAGAGTACAACAGAGAGTACAAGAATGAAAATTGAGTCAGTTGTCAGTAGGAGATAGCCATGGGAAGTTAATAGTTGAAGAAGAATTAGAAATTAGCCTATGAAGACTTAGTGTGTGTGATAAAAGATTTAGTCACAGTGGGACTGTTTTAATTCCATTACCAGGATACAACTAGTGAAAACTGAGACTCCTAGTGCATGCCTAACTGTGAACTGTAAGTAAATCAGTGATAGTGCTATATTGCTTGTATGAGTTGATTCTATAAGGTGTTAGTAAATCCAATCATCCAATCCAGACCCTGTCTATAGTCACTAATACATGTGACACTATATTGTATTTACACGTTTCTAGGTCATCATCATATGTAGGTCATCTCTTGTATAGGAGAAAATTGGTGAAAATTTGCATTGCATTTTCACCATCCTGCCTGAGGTCACATATATTTATCAGTCACTGTAGTCTGTGACAGTTTATTGTATAATCTGAAATTCAAAATTTTCATTCCCTGCATAAGTAACATTTGTTTTCGGCGTAAAAAAGATTTTTAAGAACAAAGCTTTTGAATAGTATATATACAGCTAATATATTTTGTGTGTTTTTTTTAATTATTTTAAATCAGAAATGAATGAGTTGTATATGGAATCATGTTTACTATTTTTTAATTTGGCTGGCTTTAACTGTGTGTAGGTTCTACACCTCTTTTCAGGCTGAAAAACTTATACATTCATTCATTCATGACCTACACAGCAAGGGTAATGTTATGTTGTGTGTATATTGCAGTAGAGTCCATACGAAAAGTTTCCTTAGCTCTTTAACTTCATGGAGAAGGGTGCTTCTTGAGAAGTTAATAGTCACTCCGCTGGTCAAGGATTTCCTTGATTTTAATGGAATGTGAAGGTTTCATTGTAGATGACCCAAATTTTACTTATTGATGGGAGAAAAGAAGAATCTTCGTATTTGTGCTAATTGCATAGCAGTCCTGTCACATGTGACACAGCTACCTCCTGTTGCACTTCCCCCCAGAGATCCACAAAGCTGAAGTAAACAGAAATGTTCTCAGCCTCAGTTGGCAATGCTTGCTGATCCACTAATACCATATTTACAAGAGTCTGCTACTGGAACCTGTCTTGAGCCAGGTGAATCCAGTCCACATCCTCATACCCATTTCCACAAGATCCATCTTAATGTTATATTCCCATCTGAGTTAGGTAATTAGTATTAAATATACGTTATGAAGTCCTTTTTTATAACAAGCTTTGATTGCTCAAGTGAATAAAATGGCTGTATACATATAACATAGCCAGGGTTCAGAAGAGTAATTCCTAATTGTCTGTACATTATCAGATCCAGAATGGCTCTCTGTCCCATCCAGCCTATTCAGTTGATACCAGGGATTCTTTCTTCAAGCCTGGAGTATGAAGGTGACAAGTCACCTCCATCCAGCACTAAGATTAAGAACTGGATGCCTTCGTGAGTGGTACTTACACATTTGAATGGCTTGCACTTCACTTTATACTTCTGCAGGTGTATACATCAGAGAAGATGGTGTTGTTATTGATCCAGCTCTTGTTGAAGAGGTTTGCCAAGTTGTAACTGAAATCTTACAAGAGTGTGAAGAATATGCTTATGGTTATTGTGATAAGAAAGTGATACCCAAGTCTATCGGCCAGCACCTGAAGCAGAAGTTTGAACGGTATCTCGAAAGTTGCTCCGAGGATTCGGAGGAGCTACATCGCATGAAGGAAGAACTGTATGACTGGCATCTGAGGTAATTGTTATTTTGATACATGCTGACATAAACCATTGTATACTTAACGGGGCGACAGGAGGGGCATAATGTCCAATGCATGAGGTTTATATAATTTTAATTTCGATTGAGATCTACTTGGTGTTTTGACATCAGTTTTTTGTTATTTCAAGAAATTGTATGGTGAAAAACTAAGTATAACAATTTAATTTTTAAGTATATATTTAGTTTTAAAGACAAATATAAATTATATATATATATTCATATTTATTCAAGCCTGCTATATCAGAATTCATATTCTGACACTGGAGCAAATATTGATTAATACACAGTTGACAGATGTATTTTTCTTTCCTACAGTGAAATTTCACATAAGAATACTCATTGTTGTTTTTGTAACTGTACTAATAGATTGATATGGATCTTAGCTAGTGTACATTCTTGTCAAATTGTGAAGTAGTTGGAATAAAATTCATGTAACAAAAGAGACATTATTGCTTCTCCTGTCTCATGAAGGTATCACATTTTTATACTTCCAGAATCTTGTCATCCTGAATACAGTTCATAGCATGAGACAACAGTTTATGCAAATTACATAAAAATTGAAATTTAACTTTCAAATTAAGATTGAAAAATTATCTTATATTATGCAATTTAGTATAAAATTAGGGCATTCATGTTTACATGTAGAAACAAAATTATTACATCTTTTAAATGTGATTTCTTCGTCAATAACCTAAAATGTTTTGAACATTCAAGTAGTTATATATAACTTATATAAATTTTAGATTTCAGGTTATTGATAATTCATGCACAGTTTTAGATAAGCTGTCTGCCAAAGCTTGGGGTAGCTATTCATTCAGTGGTGGGACTGACTACATAAACTTCAAAGAAGGCTATGGCTCTTTAGTCAGGACCATAGTAAAGGAACTTCCAGCTGGAATGCTGTGTCTGAATAGACCTGTAACTGCGATTAAGTGGCAGCAGAGCATCAATTTGCAGGTTCAGAATGACACAGCTTTGGATACAATATGTAACAAACTGAATGGAGTTCATATGACTCCTTTCCATGTTGATGTGCATGGAGGTATGGCACCCCAGACTCATCGTAATGGCATTGAATCAGGAGTTCCAAAAACTGTAGGAAAGCCTCCTGTAGTGGTTTTCTGCAGCAATGGAACAGTGTATACTGCTGGACATGTCATTGTGACCTGTTCTTTGGGCTGCTTGAAGGCATGCTGTAAGACAATGTTTGAACCTGAACTGCCTCATTCTATGATCCAGGTAAGTGAAAGCAAAGTAAGTAAGAAAGTAAACTATCAAAGTCTATTTTAGATTGTATTAAAAATTATATTGGTAGTACAGAAAAAAAAATTGGCAGTTGTAAACAATATGAACAATCCTTCATTGTTTCAATTTGTTCTCTATTTCTTTTTAAGTAGTTTGATAATAGGATGAAGTTCATATATTTGGGAACAACTCCAAGCAGCATTCATGAAAGAATTAAAAGCAAATTAAATTCAAAGAATGCATTCTATCACCCAGTTGAGAATCTTTGCCTTCTCATCTGCTACCCACAATATAAAGGTTAAAATATACAAAATTGTAATTTTATGTCTTGGCCTGTATGGATGTCAAACTTTGTCTCTCACATCATGAAAAGAATATAGGTTAAGGGTGTTTGAGAACAATGTGCTTAAGAGAATATTTGGTTGTATGAGGAGGTAATGGAAGGCCAGAGAGAGGTCTGTAATGAGGAGCTTATTAGTTTCTACTCATCACCCTGTAGTGTTATTATTACGATGATCAAACCAAGGAGGGTGAATTGGATGGGGTATGTAGCGTGAATATGAGAAATGAGGCGTACATTTAGAGTTTTGATTTGAAAACCCAAAGGGAAGAGCCAACTTGCTAGGCCTAGATGTAGATAGAATGTTAGTATTAAAATGGATGCTATAGAAATAGAATGGGAAGATATGAATGAATTCATTTGACTCAGGACAGAGATCAGTAGCAACTGGCTGCTGTGAACACAGTAATGTACTTCTAGATTCTGTAAAAGGTTGACAATTTCTTGACTGTTAGCTTCTCAAGAATTCCCCACAGATAGATAGTTAATTAATTAGTTAGTTATTAGGCAAAATGAAATTCCAGGATTGTGATGAAATGACAAACAGGAACTACTTATGTTACTGATGGAAGTGTCTGAACTCTGTCCCTAATAATCTACAGCAGACTGCTCTAATTCTGCATAACAGTTGGTCATTTTTCATTTTATAAGGCTGTTCAAGACATGGGGTTTGCTGCAGTTAACAAGATATTCCTTGTTTTTGAAAAGCCTTGGTGGACTCCTGACATCAAAGGCTTTCAGTTGATTTGGTCCAGGGACAATAATGTTACTCCATCACATAAGGAGGTTAGTATAAAACAGCTGGTAGGTGAATATCTCGCAAAACTAGTTGCCTTTGCAAGGAAAATAATAAGATCATATCACAATGAAACAAATCAAATAAGACCATATGTTTATTCCTTGCTTAATGGAGAGGAAAATGACTGATGCAGGAAGTATTATGAGTAAATTTAGAATATTGCTGAGTATGAGATCCTATATGCATGTTCTTCAGCGCTCATCATGGACACGGGATCTTACTGGTTTTGATGTCATTCATGGGCAAGAAGGAGTTCTTCTAGGATGGGTTGGAGGAAAGGGAGCTGAATTGGTTGAAGAAATGACAGAGGATGAGATTGGGCAACAATGCATAGAGCTGTTGAAGAAATTCACAATGAATGAAAATATTCCTCTTCCATGTCAGGTGATAAGGTAGGACTGTAGTAATCTAATGTATGTTAATCTGTTGAATGTGTCATGTTAATACAATGGTATATGACATATTTTGAATATGAAATATCAGACTTATTTAGAAAGTAAGCATAACATCCAGGCACAAATTAATGAACTTTAAAATCAGAATTCATCTATTCACACCTCAGTATGGTTTTCACAAGTTCTGGAGCAACTGCTTGTGAGTCAGGATTAAAACATGTTGTTTGCCTTGTCTTTAGAATGTAATGAAAAGGTAAATACAAGAGTATGTTCTGGCATTTTTTTTGGATATATTCCAAAATTACTGGTTTGAAGTCTTCATCAACAGGGAGTACTCATTTTTCTCCAAAGCAAGTGTTATAGTTATATATCTGTAATAAGCAGCACAGTGTATGTCATAAGAGATATACAGGGTGTGTTTGAATCCCAACTGTCACATAGTTGTATTCTCACTTGTGACAAACACCATCAACATTACAGATTAAGCTCTTGGTGTGTTCCAGTTACAGGGATTAAAACTCTTCCTCCCTCCTTTTTATCAAATGTCTCTGGTATCAATTTACTGCTCAATTTAAATTGCTAGAGCATCTTTGGGATTTATTTGCCATTAGAAGGACAAGGTATTTTTCTCTGAGATGATCCGAGTCCTATTTGAAGATCATTTCGTCATTGTCTAGGACAGCGATGGCCAACTGGCGGCCCGCGACTTGATTTACTCCGGCCCCCCGCCAAGTCTCAGGTTTATTTTCAAAAATCTTAACTTCACAGCTGTATTGGCATAGAATTCAGTTTTTAATAGGACGTTTCATTAGCTTACAGCATTTTTCAATTGACTGTATACGTTCTTACCGAGTTGGACAGTTCAAACTGTTTTCTAATAACTGTGTTCATGTCATGGAAATTCCAAGTCCCCCAACCCAACTTCTGTAGGGAAATGACACCGAAGGGAAGACCGTAGTGGTGAAGGATTTATGACACCTTCAAAATAATAACCATTCCCAGCTTGCTCGCGGCGATGGGATGTTTATCGTTTCTCTCGGCATCCTGGCCTTTGTTAAGCGCCAGTTTTAGCAGAAATGTCTCCCAGTTAGTGCGATTTTAGAAAGTGAAGTGTGATTACGGAGTGTGAGTGTAGAACTGTTTTTCAATTAAAATTGTGTTTGAAGTTATTGTAAGTGATACAGCATGTCAAATAGTAAATTGAGAAAAGTTGATAGTGAAAATAGGGCGTTCAAATCTGAGTGGGAACATGACTATTTTTTTATATTAAATAAAGACCACAAGCCACAGTGTTTAGTATGTTTTCAAGTGCTAGCAGTTTTAAAGGAGTACAACCTAAAGAGGCATTACATGACAAATCATAAACAGAAGTTCGGAAAACACTCTTGTGAATCAAGGAAAGTAGTCTGAGATCAGTTAAAGGAAAAACATTTCCAGCAGAAATCTCTTTTTACCAATGAAACAAAACAACAAGAAGAAGCTTTGCTGGCTTCTTATTTCGTGACATATGAATTAATGAAAGCTAAAAAAGCGTTAAGTGATGGTGAATTAATTAAGAACTGTGCGATAAAGATGGCAGAAGCTTTCAATGAAAATAAGGTAGGAAACAAATTTCAAACAGTGCCCCTTTCAAAACAGACTGTTACTAGGAGGCTGGAAGATATTAGCAACCAGATATCTAATAATGTGAAAGACATTATCGCTAATTGTTCCTATTTCTCAATTGCTCTCGACGAAAGCACAGATGTTTCGGATACTAATCAGTTGCTGATATTTGTTCGTGCAATTAAGGAAGATTTTACAATTTTCGAAGAGTTGTTAAAAGTGTGCTCTTTACACAGCACAACTAGAGGTGTCGATATTTTTAACGCTGTTAAGAGTGCAGTGGAGGAATTCGGTGGTTTTGAAAAATTGTCCTCCATAGTAACAGATGGCGCTAAATCAATGACAGGGACAATAAGCGGTTTTGTTGGATTTTTAAGACAGAATCAAATTACTGTACCTACCTTGCATTGTATTATACATCAGGAGGCTCTATGTGCCAAATCAATTAAACTGTCTACCACCATGGCTACTGTCACAAAAATTACTAATTTGATCAGAGGAGGAAATCGATCACTCACTCACAGAAAATTTCTGACCCTCTTGGAAGAAATGGATTCTGCTTACGGGGACCTGCTTCTGCACACTGAAGTAAGATGGTTAAGCCGTGGGAAATGTCTGGTACGGTTCTTTGAACTCCGTCATGAAATAGCAACATTCCTAAGAGAAGAGGTTACGAATTCTGCTGAACTGCAGAATGATCTCGAAGACGTCGAATTCTTGAGAAACTTGGCCTTTCTCACTGATATCACTCAACACTTGAATGTCCTGAATCTGCAATTGCAAGGCAAGAAGCAGACAATATGTCAGATGGTTGGCTTTGTTGACAGTTTCCGTAAAAAGCTACATTTATTTAAGTCTGCATTGGACAAAAATAACCTTCTACATTTCCCTTGCTGTCGGAAACTCTCAGAAGAAGAAGAAGAAGAAGAAGAAGAAGAAGGAGGAGGCTTGGAGTTTAGGGACTACAGTGAAATTATTGAAGATTTGTCTTCAGAGTTCGACCGACGATTTAACGATTTTGAAAGCTTTCGACCTGATATTTCTTTATTCAGTAATCCTATACATTGTGATATAGAATCTCAGCCAGGTCATCTGCAATTAGAGCTTTGTGAACTTCAATGTGACCCATCCTTAAACACATCTCAGGTTACTGGAATTGACTTTTGGAAACTGCTTTCACCAGAACGTTACCCACTGTTACGAAATTGGGCTCTCAAACTTTGCTCTGTTTTTGCAAGTACTTACATATGCGAGACAGCGTTTTCATCGCTGAAGCATGTAAAGTCTAAGAACAGGAACAGACTTTCAGATGTCGTGTTATCACATATTCTTCGAGTGGCAACCTCACAATTAGAAGTGGATTTTATATCATTGGTTTCCAGTTTTATGAAACCACAGTGCTCTCATTAAAACAGTGTGTATATGGGGATTTAGGTATAATCATTAGACCATAAAAACTATGATTGAAAGCCTTTTGTGCTCATCCCTGCTGAAAGAGGAATTTGTGCTGTGTTATGGTAAGTAATTGCAAATTTCAAGGCATTTTATTTTTCTTTCTTAAATTAGAATTGCATTTTTCCCCGGCATATATAAAACTAAACATAAGGCATGATCTGGCCAGTGTTTCTTTAAGAAAAAAATGCTCTGGGGGTAGAAGTGATAGAAGGCAATAAAATCGATTGGTGAAATTTTCAATATCGGCTTAATATTATTGGTGCAACGTAAAATTTAAATACATAGGTTTAAATGCACTTGTTTTTACACGGGTTATGACTGATTCAGTTTGGGGGGCAATACTCCCCGACCACTCTTCTGAAAGAAACACTGTATCTGGCCCCTGATGGTGTTCTATAAACTAAATTTGGCCCTCGAGATGTATTAGGTTGGCCAACACTGGTCTAGGATGCATCATGCCAAATGATCAACTTCACAGATGCAAAGAGGATTACTGCAAGGAGCAGTCCCCGGCACAATGTTATTTAGAATATTGACTGAGGACATATCAGTTAATTTGAGTCAAGTACATAATGTTAAAACAGCACTCTTTGCAGATGATCATATTATGAGGACCTCATCAACAGTAACAGCTTTGATAGACTTGAAAGGATTCTGACGGAGACAGATCCAGTCTCCGAAACGTTGTGGTTTTTTGTCTTTTTATATACCGGACGATGGGTGAAGTCCAAAATAAGCCAAAAGAAGTACAGTAACAGCTTTCATCAGCAATGCAGATGGCCCTAACAGTTTTTAAGAGGCTGTGGGGCAATGAAAATGACATGAGAGTAATGATGAAAAAGGTATTTTATCAAACTTTCATGGTGAGTCATGAAGTCTCTCAAATTAATTTAAATGTCAGTGGTGAGACTACTATGCACTACCAAAAGCCAGACTGTTTGGGTGTATATTAGGTCAAAAATCCCATGTAAATAAAAGCAAATTAATCCTCATAGTATGCATCCTGTTGTGTGTCATGTATAAGATATATGATATATATACTGGGACAGCATGGTGCAATCTGCAATGAAGTGAACACAGTTTCCACATTCCTCTTGTGCACTGGTCAACCTTTAAGAGCCGAGCGATGCCATATAGCGTCATCAAAATAAAGTCAAGGGGACGAATGACGCCATATGTCGTCACGCAGTCCACGCGTGCGGCCGGCTTTTAAAATCTAATTTTAAGTTATAAATTCTTTTTCTACTTAAATGATTTTTGGTCACCAGCTTTATAAGTTGTCTCTCTTCCCACCTGCATCTTCTAACGGACTGTTGGCTTCGTGTGGAAATCTTAGAAACATCTGAAAATCCAGTGTCCGACGTCGCACTTCACGCACTTTGTCCGGACGGTTCTTCGTTTCCCACGCGAAAAGCACACACGACACCTCAATTTCGAAGTACAGGAAGTCGGCCAGTGATGTGGTTTGGCCCCTATAATCGAGATATCTCCGATAAAATGGCAGGGGTTCGACCCCTGGGCCGTTGATGGCGAGGTGGACCCCTTCCAGCATGTTCCGCACAAGAGCGAGACGAAATTCTCTTTGTGACAACAGGATGTAACTGTTCAGATCCAGGAGACGGAAAAATAGTTTATTTGTCCATTTCCAGGTTCGACGACAGATGCTATAACTGTTTGCCACAGTTTGCCCACAGCTCCACCTGAATAATTATTCACACTCCTCTTGCCACGCTGGTGTGGTGGTCCCCAGGTTGCCGACCAAGATGATGGTTCTTCGTCGAAATCAACCGCCAGTGATGTGGTTTGAGCTCCTCTAATCGAGGTATCTCCAATGAAACGGCAGGGGTTCGACCCCTGGGCCGTTGAGGGCGAAGTGGACCCCTTCCAGCATGTTCCGCACAAGAGCGAGACGAAATTCTCTGTGTGACAACAGGATGTAACTGTTCAGATCCAGGAGATGGAAAAATAGTTTATTTGTCCATTTCCAGGTTCGACGACAGATGCTATAACTGTTTGCCACAGTTTGCCCACAGCTCCACCTGAATAATTATTCACACTCCTCTTGCCACGCTGGTGTGGTGGTCCCCAGGTTGCCGACGAAGATGATGGTTCTTCATCGACTTCAATTTCTGATTCACTTTCTTCCTCGCAACTCTCAGAGTCATTGGTACAAACAGTCTGAATCGGTGTCATTTAAAAGTTGATTCTCAATTTCAGTGTCTTCCACATATGAGGCCATGGTGGACAGCTAAACACAACGCTAGCCTTGAACGTTCTGACACTGCTCGGCTATATTTCAAAACAGACTACTTCTTGTTTGTCTATACGAGATAATACAGTCAGCGTTACTGCGAACGATTAGACATCGCCCACACTCGTGCACATACCGAAAGGAACCTACGAACTGGAGAATGAGGAACACAAGCATAAACTTCTGCCCCTGTTGCCACGTAAGCCATAGTTAGAAAATGATGTCAGCAGCAGGCATTCAGACTGCAGAAATGTTTTGTGCAGGAACTGTATGCATTTTTGTGCACAGACGTTCGAAATTGAGGGGAAAAATTTTTGTTGGCATCAGTGTAAAAATTTTTAGAGATTTTAAAATCGGTAAATTACAATAACTGATTCTATATTCTTTCTAGATAAAAGCAGCGTTTATTTCGTTCGTTTATCACAAAAATTGTAGAAATCACAGCATTTTGAGCAACATGATTACAATTTTTATTACTCTACAGTGGCGGGCATTTAAATTAACTCCGTCCCGCTACCACTACCGGAATTTAAATGGCCATCTCTTAATGGTTAATATGCATCCTGTGGTTACAACAGTTAACATTAGTTGCCATAGTTGCTGCATGTCATAGAAGAGGTGAGGAATTTCATGACTGACAGTGAATATTAACTTTTCAAGAATGACTCTGCTCCATGGAGTTAGTTAACTCAGACATATATCCATTCTTACTGGTGTACTGTGGTAACAAATATAGACATTTTATCTGGTAATTAGATCTGATCTGTTGGAAGGTTTGACTGTGCCTGTCTAGTAAGTTGTGGGATGGTTCCTCACTAATTTTCTTATTCTGTTCTAGGAGTCAGTGGTACAAGAATCCTTACATCCGTGGAGGATACAGCAACTCTTCAAATATGTGTGATGTATCTAGCAGAGGGCCATCTGATCTGGCAGAGCCTGTGTGGGCAGAAGTGTGCTATGGGAATATGCCCACTGAGTGCAAGGTATATGCAGTAGTGCTGTGTTTAGTATAGAACCGTTTTAGAACACTCTGTTATCAATTACTCATAACATTGGAATGAGAGACATCCATTAAACATTGGATATAATGATAAATATATAGAAGAAGCAGTAAACACAAAATTCCTTATCTCACAAATTGATAATCATTCAACTGGAAAAACATATTGATCAATTGGTTCCAGAGCTAAGCAGAGCATGTTATGCAGTTATATCTGTGTTGCATATCAGTGATATTGGCAGTCGCAAATCTATTTATTTTGCTTACTTTCACTCTTTAATGAAGTATGGAATAATTTTCTTGGGTAATTCATCTGACAGCAAAAAGGTATTTACATTACAAAAGAAAATTGTTAGGCTCATGATGGTTGTCAAATCCCTTAATTCTTGTACAGATCTTAACTCTTCAATGTGAATATATATTTTTATTAATAAACTTCGTTACAAATAATGAAGAACATTTTCAGACCACTGCGGATGTACACAGTGTTAACACAAACACTATATCTCCATAAACCAACTGCTAACCTCTCATGCCTTCAGAAAAGCGCGTATTATGGTGGGATCAAAATTTTCAGTAATCTACTATCTGATATTAAAAGTCTATGGATGAAAAAGCATGATTTAAAATAGCACTAAAGCTATACCTGAACACACATTCATTCTACTCTGTTGATGAATACTTATTGTCTAAGAAATGACTCGTCCATTTAAAGATTGTGTAAACAGAATAAATTGACAGTATATAGGTGGATGTATTTTTGAATAGCCTCAAATGTAACCACTGTATTATCTTGTGAAAACTTCAGTTCTATTATATTTATATGACATATTCCACATCATGCAGTCATTTTGACTAATATTGGGTCCAAGGAATGTAATGTAATGTAGAACCCAGGGGTTCATCTTCTCAACAGCCCACCACGGGACCATATCTTGATCTAGTGAAATCTACTGCACATCCTCTTCATGCCTGTTGAAGATCTGTTTTGATATTAGCCTCCTGCATAGCTTTCCCAAGTGGTCTCTTCCCTTCAGTTTATCAAAGTACAATTTTGTATGCATTTCTGTTGCCCATGCATTCTGAATTCCCTGTTTATCTCATCCTCCTTATTTTGATTATCCTAGTAATGTTTAGTGAAGAGTACAAACTACAGAATTTCTCATATAATTTTCTGCATCCTATTACTTTCTCTCTCTTAAAGACAAATATTCTCTTCAGCACTTTGTTCTCATGAAAATTCAAATAAAAGTGTGCATGGATAATCTGCAAAATTAATCCATATACAGAAAATCAGGGGTGTATAGTACACCAAGGGAATGGTTATTATTGTATTGTAAATGACTCATTTTGCTTATTATGACTTTAACATGCATATTAGAGTTAACTTGCTGTATAGTATTATTAAGATAAATGTTTTTCTTTTCAGTATCCTGTCATTTTGCTAGCAGGTGAAGCTACCCACGAGCGTTACTTCTCAACAACACATGGTGCATACGAAACAGGGCAGGCACAGGCTAAAGTAATTCTAGACTATATCAATAGTCAAAGAAGTTCTTCCTTATAAAAAAATAATTCTTAGCTGTCATAATTTTTGTTGTTGAATTCCCAGACTTCCATTTTATAAACATAAATTTTACTGCAATCATTACCAAACTGCACAAAACAAATTCTTTTAACTATTAAAACTCCTATACATCTCTGTTTTTATGAGATGTTCTCATTTTCCATTTTATCATTCATGTCCCCCAGTGTAAGGTATGTGGGATCCTCTATGCAGTCTGAGGTTTTGTCATAGCTGATTTCACTGAGTAAATATATACAGTATTTGTGACAAAGACACTGCATATCCATTATTTTCTTTAGGTCCAAAACTTGATGATGATGTCATGTTGTTCATGTTTTGTTGGTGGTTTTCACAGAATAAGTAACCACTGAACCACTATGTGGGACCTTGAAATTAAGCAGTCGCTGCTCATAAAGCCCAAATTTAATGTGGTGATTTTGTGAAAGCTGTGAATATTGTATTACTGCCCCTAATTGCACTTCTCGAGTTTCTCTAGAATCTAACTTTAGAGTAACATGCTTTTAGTCTCTTTGCTTTGTAATACCTAAAGACCCATGGACAAGATAGAGCAAGATTTTCCAATTTCTTAAGTCACTATTTCGGCAGTGCTTCCCTGCGCATGCCACTCTAGCATTGTTTTTCCTATTTTATATTTAGTTTTTATATATAGTTTCTTTGGAAGTATGTATTTATATTTTTTCCCTACCTGCTATGCAGTAACTGCATATTGTGTGCATTACCAGAACTATAAATTACACTTTGTTCTGGTCTAATTTGGTGCTTCTTTTTTAATTGTATGTATTATTACTTACTTACTTACTTACTCATGGAGCTGAGCCCTTCTGGAGAAGCCGCCAATTCTGCAGCTACTCAAGAATTTCCCAGCATTTTATCGAACCTGAAGGTTCATTACCGTGTTCACAAGAGCCCTCCACCGGTCCCTATCCTGAGCCAGATCTATCCAATCCATACCATCCCATCCTATCTCTCTAAGATCCATTTTAATATTGTCGCGTATCGGGCGTATATCGCGACAAATAAATTCTCGATGTATTTGATGTAGCGAATTTTATTTCACATTCGCACTTACAATCACCCAAATTACTGATTTACGATTACTGCTATCTGCAGTATCACAATTAGTACACTCCAAATGCCACAATACAACTGACTGGCTGACTGACTCTGAATACAACTCCCGACTGTTACTTTATAACTGACTCGCAGCCACTGTGCAGCTCACTTATATAGCTGCAGTGCTTGCTTGTTGCGTAATGAGTGCCACGTCATCCTGTTACGTCACCGCTGTTGATTCGCCTTGCATAGTTACCAGGTTGCGGGGGCTCGGCTATCTTCGGCTCCGCTCGTGACGTCACCGCGCATAGCTGCCAGGATGCGGGGTGATTACTCGCCTATTACGCGAGCGTTACGTTACCGCTACGTGCAGCTGGGGAGGTAGGGGTCAACATGTCACAATATTATCCAACCACCTACACCTTGGTCTTCCTTGTGGTCTCTTTCCTTCTGGCTTTCCCACCAATATCCTATACGCATTCCTCGTCTTCCCAATTCGTGCTACATGACCTGCCCACCTCATCCTCCTTGACTTCATCATTCTAATTATACGTACTTGGAGAAGAGTACAAGTTATGAAGCTCCTCATTATGCAGTTTTCTCCAACCTCCTGTCATTTCATCTCTCTTCGGTCCAAATAATCTCCTCAACACCCTGTTCTCAAACACCCTCAGTCTATGTTCCTCCCTTAATGTCAGAGACCAAGTTTCACACCTATACAGAACCACGGTATGTATTATTAGGTAAAGGAAAACAATTTATTGTTAAAAATGACTTGTTTTGGTTTATGTGGATTTTGGCAACTCTGCATTGAGTAGTAACAGTTTAGTTAATGAAAAGCAATTTTAGTATACATGGCTAAAATACTTAAGTTCTCATTTTAATGAATGTATTGTTACTGATGCCAACTGCCATTATAATGTTCATGCGAATCATACTGCTTTTTGTCTCTCATATTATTTATGTAAGTCACAAAAATGAATATCTTTAGTGAGATTTGAGGATTTAGATGGGGAAATTTGACAGACCTACTAAGATAAAGTGCCATATTTTAAATGTAAAACAAAATGTATTGCTAATTTTGTATTATGTTCGCGCCATCAAAAATCTCTTTGTATGTCATTCAGTAGCATGCTCGTCATAGGTTGCTGATTCATGGTGTAACTGAGTATTACTTGTACATAAATATATATTCTGTTTTAGGGTAGATATTTCTATTTCAGTATATTTCAGTGTTCCTATTCATATGCAGGAGTTTCAGTAGCTTCATTCCTGGGTAACTCAGCCCAGAAATTTCAATGTACTGATGTAACCAACAGGACCGCCTCTGTGGTCTAGAGGTCAGAGTTCCTGGCTACAGATCCAGAGGTCCAGATTCGATTCCTGGTGCTACCAGATTTTTTGAGAAGTAGTGGGTCTGGAACGGGGTCCACTCAGCCTCGTGAGGATAACTGAGGAGCTGTTTCAAGGAAATAGCGGCTCTGGTCTAGAAAACCGAAATTAGCAGCCATGGCAATTCGTTGCACTGACCACATGACACCCTCTATCCGCTAAATTTGGCACTAACTTCGCCGACAAGCAGTGGTCACTGGGTCAGTATAGTTCGCCTGTGGACTACAGACCACAGAGTGTTTTTTTATGTAACCAACGCTTAATAACATGGCAGTTATATTAAGAATAGGACTGATAATTTGAAATGTACAAGTACTTGGATGACTGTGCAGAAATGACTAGTTAGCATAACCTAAAGTGTGGGTGGAAGGATGTGGAATTTTATCAGTTTTTCTGTTTCGTGTTGATGGGTAATTTGATCTCACCATCATGCTGTTTTAGAGAACATCATATAGTCAGTAATGTGTTCACTTTATGAAGGATTTTATGTCACTTTTATTGTGCTGTTGGTTTTATAGTAATTATTTTAACATGTTTGTTGTTTTCTGATTCATACATTTTTTCTGTTACTGTAATGTAAACTATAGTTCAATTAAACTTTCATGAAAAGGTTGATATATGATTATTATTATTATTATTATTATTATTATTATTGATTATCCTTATTATCAAAGTACACATCAATAATGTAACAATATAAAAGACATCAAGAATATGTCACTCACTAAAATGTATTTTAATACTTTATGATGTTAAAATCATTAATGTCAATAGGACACTAAAAGTATATTTTATACATTAAAATTTCTAAAATGTCTCTAGTTTTACATAAATATTTTTCTAGTTTATGACATGTTTCAGCTGCACATGGGCCATCGTCAGGTGACTTTTTTTTTAGTTTTTTGGGAGACCGCTGCACTGTTTGCTTGACACCATGCTCCTGTGCACATCAATGTTTAGTTCTATCTCATGACTAGAATGCTGTTGTTGCACTCTTTTGCACGCGATGATGGCCCATGTGCAGCCAAAACATGTCGTAAACTAGGAAAAAAAATATGTAAAACTAGAGACATTTTAGAAATTTTGATAATCATGCGGTATTATGCTACAAGCTGTAAGGTCACAGGTTCCCGAAAAGGTGAATTTTTTTCAGTTGACCTAATCCTTCCAGCTGCATTATGGCCCTGGGGTTGACTCAGCCTCCAACAGACATGAGTACCAGGAATCTTCGTGGGGGTAAAGGATGGCTGGTGCATAAGACTGACAACCTTACCACCATCTGTGAGCCGATTGTGTACAGAAAATGTGGGAGTCTTGACTTCTCACAACCCCATGGGCCTTTATGACCTGTTGCAGGGCTAGCTTTACCTTAAGGAGCTGGGATAGCGCAGTCGGTATAGTGACTGGCTACGAGCTGGACGACTGAGGGGTCAGAGTTTGAGTCCCAGTACGGTCAAGAATTTTCTCTTTTCCACGTTGTCCAGACCAGCTCTGGGACCCACCCAGCCTCCTACACAATGAGTACCAGGGCTCTTTCTTTGGGGGCAAAGCGGACGGGGCGTTAAGCTGACCAATTGCCTCCAGCTAATGCTGAGGTCAAGAAAATGCAGATCTATACATCCACTCCCCTATACGCCTTCATGGTGTAGTGCTTTATTTATTAAGCATTGGGACAACTTAAATTTTTTTAACAGCAATGGGAATGTACAGAACTTTATATGCTGTCTCTCTCCCTCTCCATCCCTCTCTCTGTCTACCAGTAATGGATCAATGTCGTGTATTCATCTGACACACGTAATTGTATGAACATTTGTGTAAGTCATTATTTTACAACATTCATATTTAATTTCTTCAGATGGGTTTCCATGCTATGTTAAGGCATAAAATGTGTGTGATATCATGTCTATGTATGTTTCTTCAGAACAAATTAGTCCATCTTCATGAAATTGCATTATTTTATTTGCATATCTCAGAGAATATTTGTAATTACAGAAGAATTCATATTTGCTTCAGACACACATACAAATTTAATTTTCTTGCCTGCAGTCTGCAGATTTGATATATGATGGTTTCATCTACACACACGTAACAAGTGTTTTGCTTGTCACATTAGTAAGAAACACTTTGTTGTATGTATTGTATTTTCTGTAACACAGTTACATTTGTAAAGCATCCATAAAACAGTTGTACATGTCTGCATCATATCCTCTTTGCCATTACACATTGTTGCTAATTCCTCACAAACATTTGGAAAGACACAGAAGTTTCATTGCATAATATCCCAGCACTGCTTTATTATATGTAATTTTTATGCCTTCAGTCTTTTAGTTTTGGTTTAGTGTTCTTTAAATATTTTTTGTGGGCATACAGGTTCCAGAGACAAAAACATTTGGGAAATTCTGGTATAGTTTGTATCATAAAGGAGTGAAAGCAATATTCTGTGCAGATAAAGTCAAGAGCAATTAATGTCAGTCATGTAGTGTTAACTGCTTTGATCATTGATTCATGAAATTACATTTTTTAACATCACTTTGTATCTCTAAAATTAAAGTTTGTGGCAACAGTTCAGTATATAACTTGTCCTTTTAATGATTTTGATGCTTCCTGTTATCTTTATTGGATGTTTTGTAGCATTGTGATTAAATGTTGAATTGTTCAGTAATGCTTGGGTTATATTTAAATATAATTGCAGTCTGTGTTACAGATAATCTGCATGTACGAATAAGTGATATAAATTTCCAATTTTATAACATCCTTCATTCACTATAACCCATATTCTGAAACATATTCCTGAAAGCGTATTTCAAAATTAGTAAGATAATGAATTTCCTGGACCTAAACTGAGAACACTGCTGTGGACCTATTGGAATTAGAATTGTAGATCAATGAATATATATATATTATATTCTAATATTGTATTAAACTGACCTATTAAAGTGGTTAATTTGAGAATCTCCATTTACACTAAATTCCAGTCCCACATGAGATTTGGAATTCAGGACTTCAAATGACTAGACAGACTTAAGTAAGGGAGAGGCAGAAGTAATCTAGTGCAGATATGCCACCACTATCATGAGTGATACAGTCAAAAAAATCATGAAGTCAGTCATGGCAGAACATAGCAGTGGCATAGGTCATTGAATCCTGCTCAACAATACCAGCATCCTGGCCAATAAATCTAGGCCCAATGACTGCAATGGAGATTGAGCCCCTTGAGAAGAATGTGGAAGCTTCTTATCCACTCCCTAAAGGAAAGGAAGATGATGGTTTTGTCCAAGAAGATGGTCGCTTCATCTTAGATACAACCACTCACAAATATGAGTGAAATCTGTCTGACCATTCAGGCATTATCAAGGCACGCATATATACATACACAACGACTTTACAAATATAACTTTCATATTCAAGGGGTGCTGAAAACGTGTAAATGCGTTCAAAATCTCAAGATTGGTGTTTCCATGATCACACTACTCTCTCATGTTGCGTATGTGAGGAAGTGAGAAACAGGAGACTGTGTATGACTACGAATGTGTGTTATCTGTGTGTATATGTTACATCGTCCTCACACTGTAGTAGAAAGGTAAAGCTATACCTGCAACAGGCTGTGAATGCCCATAGGGTTGAGACGTCCAGGCTCCCGCATTTTCTAGACAGTCGGCTCACAGATGGCCCCCAGGAAGATTCCTGGTACTCATTTCTCTTAGAGGCTGAGTCAAACCCAGGGCCATAGTGTGGCTGGAAGGTTGTTATGCATATGCAAGGATCTGGGTCTTATAACACTTGGTTGCGCCCCCATTCCTAAGAGATGCAATGGCAGAATCCTAAATTCCGAGTTCTCTTCCTCACAACTCTACTGAGGAAAAAATAAAAGAAAGAAAGAAAGAGAATGAAGTTAATAATGTTCAAGACAAAGTCGCTAAAAGGAAATTCTAAAATACCAGTGTTTCCAGTTGTGATTAAAAGAAATAATGGTACTTGGACTTTGCGAAATGGAATAAATGAAGTTGCGGATCATTGATTAAGAAATTATGCTGTACACAGAAGACATTTAATATCGCGATAGGAAATGATACTCTGACTTATGAGGAGATCGATGTATCGAAACGAGAATGTCACTAAAGGCGGGAGGGGGTTGTTTTCAGAGTTGTTGATAAGTTGAGATAAAGATTAATGAACTCGAGGCGACTTCGTTATGTTCTATGTTTTGAAGAAGACATAATTTGAACCGAACGAAATTTCAACAAAGTGTCACGCAGGGTAGGAACTGTTAGACGTGTGTAAGTGTAGAGTGGATCTGGCGGTGTCGTTTTACGTTTAGTCTAGGTCAGAATATACAGCGGGAAACGCGAGTATGACTTCATCTTTCCGCAATGCAGCCAACTCCGCTTATGCAGGACAAGAGGTGCAGATGGTAAAGCAATTCACTGAAATAATTTAACCGACTTCACAACAAATGGTAAGCAGTAGTGAATTGCTTGATGTATATGTTTGGACAAATTACAGTGTCTGGCGTCCACATACCCATATTATATGCATTTGTTTTGTTGATGACTCGTGGGATTGTGATTTCCACTGTAATTAAAAATTATTCAGAATTAAATAAGAGACATAAAATAGGACACATCAAATAATTTTGATATTAGCAATACGTAAATTTAGAAGATTTTAGGAGTATGTAGGGTACACTTAACATGTACGTTCGGCAGTAGGAATTTTAAATTACATGCTAACATCCATGCCTAAGTACTTACTCAAATGTTTTAAATATTTACTCAAATAATGTCTGAAATTATTTACACTCTTATGTAAGACTGTATTTGAAATAAATATATACTTATATACAGTAGACTTTAAAAAGCCGTTCACAGTAGCCGCGCGGCCTAAGGCATGAACTGTCTTCGCGCGCTCAGACGCTGGGATCGTGGGTTCGAATCCAACTTAAGGCATGGATGTTTGGTATGTGTATACGTTTATTCTGTGTTTATTCCCTTCTCCAAATCGTCTGGACCGGCTCTGAGGGGCACCAAACCTCCCATTCAATGGGTACGTGGGGCTCTTTCCCCGGGGATAAAGCGGCCGGGGCTTGAAGCTGACCATTTACCTCCAGTTAGTGCCGAGGTCAAGAAAATATGGATCTATACATCCACTCCCCCATACAACTTCATGGCATAGTGCTTAATTCGTTGAGCACAGGGACAACTTTAATTTTTGCGTCGTGGGAGGGGGAAAAATTATGTTTTAATCCTAAAGGAAGAACACAAACTGAGAGTGTTCGCTAGGGCGTTATGTGGAATAATTAGACCTAATAAGGAGGAAATGATATGAGATTGGAGGAAACTGTCCTGTGATGAACTTCATAATCTGTAATGTTTCCAAATTAAATAAGATTAAGGAGGATACAGGGGTCGGACATGTAACACACATGGGGTGAGACACATGTAGGGCCTACAAAATATTATGCAGGATTTGAGGTTTTCACGGCGGTGACTATGAAGAAAGCAGTCTTCAGGGATGTGGCGCCGTGTAGATGTGGTGTTAACCGACGTTTCGGAGGAACGTATCGCCTCCATCTTCAGGGTAGAAGGAAAAATAAGAAATCCGGGAGCTTGTATCGGTTCGCACAGTCTCTTCGCTGGCGGATTTCTTATTTTTCCTTGTATCCTGAAGATTGAGGCGATATGTTCCTCCGAAACGTCAGTTAACACCACATCTACGGGGTGCCACATCCCAGAAGACTGCTTTCTTCTACAAAGTATTAGTTGGAAAACCTGAAGGAATGAGACCACTATGGAGAGTAGGCGCTTCAGAAAGAATGAGATGTATAGGCCTTGAAATCTATGCAACAGGAAAGTAGATTCTTTCCTCAGAATTCCTTGTACAATATCGAAAGTTTCTAGTTTATTATGTCACTTCAAAGTACAAATATTTTTTTTCTAATCACATTATTTTAAAAAACTCATTATTTATGTAAGGGAAGGGTGCTCATATATTGAACGAAATATCATATCACGCAGATGCGTGGCAGAGGGGAAGATCACCGCGCTTCCTCCACACGTAATGGGAAGAGTCTTCCAGCCCTTAGCCAATCGTTATGCTCACCGCCATCTCTGCTCGCTTTTAATTTAGTTCTCTGAATGAGACCATATATGTGAGTTCCGAAAAAAAATCTGTTATATACGAGTAAATATACAATTAAAAAAATAAAGTTGTTCCTGTGCTTAAATAATTAAGCACTACGCCATGAATGCGTATGGGCTATTGGATGTATAGACCTACGTTTTCTTGACCTCGGCACTAGTTGGAAGTGAGCTTTCAGCTTCACGCCCCGGCCGTTTTACTCCTGGGGAAAGAGCCTCCGGTACCCATTGCATAGGAGACTGGGTGGGCCCCAGAGCCGGTCTGGACGACGTGGAGAAGTAAAAATTCTTGCCCCCATCAGGACTCGAACCCTAACCCCTTAATCGTTCAACCGGTAGCCAGTCGCTATACAGACTGAGCTACCCCGGCTCCTAAATATACAATTGAATTAAAATTATATTATATATGCACACACAAATAAAAGAATAGACACTTTTTATGCACATTTTGGTGAAGTGTGACTATTCGGTTATGACAAAATAATCGGAGAGAACTGGCGCAGAAGAAACGAATCATAAAGCCCGTGGGGAAGTTTCCTGTGAGAAACACTCTTAAGACCATACGACGGATGGTACACGGACGAGAGCGAATCTGTTTTTTTCCTGCCGTAATTCTTCGTAATGTAGCGATTGGCTGGTTGCCTACAATAACGACGCTTGCGTGAAGCAGGAAGCGTGACCTGCGTCGCTATTGCCTCTAACAACAGACGCCAGCAGGGCATGCACAAGGGAAGAAGCGGTGTTTGAACGAAGCAAATCTTGTTTCCGCGCATTGCGATTCGCGCGCAGAACTCCCACACACTGAATCAGATCCTAACAACCCGCTTTACAGTAAATATTTGTATTTCGGCGTTTAGATGTCATTGTATTTGCACTCTGAACAACTTATCGTTATAAATAATACATTTCCGTGTTGATTATATAACACCGTGTTGCGGTATTTCAGATTTTTGTGTTATTATCTAGAATTTGTTTCCACGGTGAGCAAAATGCGTGTTGAAGAAATGAATGGAATCCCTGACAAGTGGCTGAATGTAGTTGCACAGTTTGTCATGGGTTTAAGAAACGATTCAGGGTTGGATTTTAGCAAACCGCACCTTCGTCCATCCGTAGCACGTGTGTTTCCTCTGTTCGTGTTTCTATATGCCTTGGTTGTAGCAGTGGGCACTATATCCAACCTTGCAGTAATATGGACTGTTGCCAAGCACAGACTCTACCGGAATCCAACATACGGCTACATTATCAACTTGGCCATTGCAGATATCATCAAATGCGTTCTTGTGTTACCGATTTCACTCACCATTCTGTTAGTCCAGAACTGGATCTTCGGCAGCTTCCTCTGCTTCTTCTTGCCAATGTTACAGGTAGGCAACAACGCAGCCCTCTTTTTCTCAGCCCACACGGTTCTTGAAACATTAGCACCCAACTGAAAATCTGTGTTTATGGCACTCAGAGTCATGGACGCCGACACGGAGGGGAGGAGTGGAGGAAAGCGTGGCATCTGCCCTCCCCCCAGATATTGTGGAAAAGTTCAATACTTAAAATTAAAATGGAAATAAACCAAAGCTAAGGAAATTTATTATTATTAAAGATGGGTTCATATGTGTTTGAGTATAGAGGTCCATAATCCTAGGGCGACCCGTATAAGTATTCTTAGTTATCTTAAACGAGAACATAAAAATAAATATTCTTATTACCCCCTCGAATAAAATCCTGTCGGTGCTCATGCTTAAAGGGCTGACACATCTGTGATTTAATTTAGTTGTTTTAAATAATTTTCTTAATTATGTTTTATAATATACATGTAACAGGAGTCGGGATAGCGTAGTCGATTTAACGACTAGCTATGGGCTGGACGACCGAGGGGTCGGATTTCGGGTCCCGGTAGGGTGAAGAATTTTCTCTTCTCCACCGTGTCCAGACTGGCTGTGACTCTGGGGCCCACCAGCTTTGTGTCCAATGGGTAACGTGGGCTCTTTCCCTGGGAGTAAAGAGGCCGGGGCGCGAAACTGACTACACCTCCAACTAGTGCCGAGGTCAAGAAAATATGGATGTATACATCCACTCCCTCATACGCCTTCATGGCTTAGTGATTAATTAGTTAAGCACAAGGACAACTTTACCTTTAATATTCAAGTAACTTGCTTTTTGATTCGTAAATCAGCTGTAAAAAGATGGACTGCCTTTCGGCGAAGCTGAGATATGAGGTTCTCACGGATGTGTCCATGAAGAGTGTCGTATTCTGGAATGTGACATCGTGTAGTCTCACGTCTACCCATAAGACTATGGCAGAAATTTTCTCCTGAACGTCAGTAAACACCTGCCAAGCTACACGATGTTATATCCCAGAAGATACTAGTATTTTCTTTTGCAAGTCTTCATAGAAATTTCGTGGTGTCTAAACCGTAAATTACTGCTTAGTACATCCTGAATTCGGTCTTGGTTTAATATAAGAAATATTTATTTATTGATGGATTATTTAACGTCTGTGGCACCAAAGGGTAAAATGTTTGTTTGCAATGAATTGGAAACGATATGATAGGAAGGACTATTGCCCAGTAGAGCGTAATAACCTAGAATTTGCCTGGTGGAACTGAGAAAAGGAAAAAGTTGAGTTGTCCCTGCGCTTAACTAATGAAACACTACGCCGTGAAGACGTATGGGGGAGTGGATGTATAGATGCAAGTTTTCTTGACCTCGGCACTAGTTGGAAGTGAGTGGTCAGCTTCACTCCCCGGTCACTTCACTCATGGGAAAGAGCCAGCACCAGGACTTGAACTCCGACCCCTTGGTCCTCCATCGTGGCCGGTCGCTATACGGACTGCGCTAGACTGGCTCTCCTGGCGGAATTGAGTAAAACCAGAAAATATCTCATTTATAGTAGTCGAGCTTCGAAATAGCAAAAGATAAAGTTGTTCCTATTCTTAAGTAATTAATCACTGCGCAATGAAGGCGTATGGGGTAGTGGATATATAAAACTACGTTTTCTTGACCTCGGCACTAGTTGGAGGTTAGTGGTCAGCTTCACCCCCCGGCCGCTTTTCCCACGGGAAAGAGCCGCCGGTACCCATCGTATAAGAGATGGTTGAACCTCAGAGCCGGTCTGGAAGACATGGAGAAGTGACATTTCTTCACCCTACCTGGACTCAAACTCCGACCTCTCGGTCGTCCAGCCCGTAGCCAGTCGCTATACCGAATGCGCTATCCCGGCTTCGAAATAGTTACCTCCCGAATTCAAGTCCAGAGTGTTACTCACACATTCGAGATGCTGAATGCTTACAATGAGACAGACATGCACGTTCTTTGAGTACGTTAATTTTATGCACTTCAGACAAAGAATGTATAAGAACTGATCTTGGTGTTACACCTCGCCTCCGCGTTCTGCTACCAGACATCCGACCAGACAGAATGGTCAATAAGGGGATCCAAACAGTGGACCTTTAAATAATAGCACGGACGAGAGTTATTTGTTCGAATATAAATCTTGGGGCTCTGCACGCCCTGTTTTGCTTAACGCACAGACCCCTAGCCAAATTGGCTCTAGTTTAATATTTTTTTCTTTTTATTTTGAATTTGTATTGAGAACACTTATGTCGGAGAGAGAACTTTTTGATTTTACTTTCATTGTCTAAGTTAAAAAACATCGTGAAAGGTACAGTATCTTAAAGTGACCAGTATTTGTCTATGAAATAAAATTGAAGTTTTGGTTTACCTTCCTCTAGCTTATCACTGAATTCAAATAGCTCTGTATTAGTTATTTCGTCTAATTATGTTTCGTGTTTTGTTTTATAAAATTATGTTTTCTAGGAGGACCGGAAATGTTGTATGCAGTTTCAAATAGGGGTTGTTGATTGTGCCTGAATTCGACTCAGTGATACTCAAGGGACAGACGATACGATAGGATTTCGAGGGTATTTGCAACCCCAACGAATGTAAAAATATGCATGATGTGCCACATTTTAGAGAGCCCAAGGCAATTCAAATTCAAGAGTTTCAGTAAATGACCGGTGGGAGCGTAAAAATTCTAATTTGATTTCGTGTTCAGTTTATTCAACGGGAGACAGTGGAAAGCAACATCAAAACCTCTCTCTCTCTTTCCTCACTGCAAAAATCGATTTAGTTGTTGCTTTTTTTTTAAGTATGACTCATATGTAATATACTTAGACTTCATAGCAGTCGGTCCTATGTGTACTTTATTTGTTTATTTACAGCTTATGTATCGAAAGCTATCGATAGATCGTATTACACAATGTCGAATAATAAGATGATTAGTGAATAATGAATTTAAAAAGACGTGTGGAAGGAAACCGTCGAGACCTAATTTGAAATATTATCCTGGTGTTTCGCTAGACGGACTGAAGAATACCTCGGAAAACATCATTGAAGGTGTTCGATCTCTAAGATCAGATTTGAAATCAGAACTTCCCGAATACGAAGCAAGAGTGATAACCACTTTGCGGTGAAGTTCGGGCAAAGGTGCAGTTGGCAGAATAATATTGTCGCGTGTTTGCTAGACAACGCCACAAGAAATTTGTGGGGGTTCTCGGATTTCAACGAATATTTATTGGGCAGTCGCTTTGACACTCGCACTTACAATTATTCTCAACTTGTAAAGTTGTCAGACGTTTCCTCTTCACTATTACAATTACTTGCACCGCTGATCTTGGTGAAGTGTCTTCTGCTCTGCTCGGAGCTTAGCTCTCTTCGGATAAGAACTCTTCTGTTCTAGTCGGATAAAACTCTGCTGGTCTCAAGTCAAAGTCAAAGTCACATTGCGACTGACGGCCAGTCAGTCAGTAAGTCTTGGTGTCAAGCCCCGTCCTGGGGCTCATGACCAGATATTTGTTACTGTTTGATAGTTACGGTCTTGCTCTTCTGAGACACCTTCTCTGACGAGAGGGCGGGTCTATCTTTTATACATGCTGCTGGTTCTTGCCAGCGCAGTCTTTCTCGGGTCCGAGTCCCTTGGGACTCGCGACCATATTTTACTGTCTCAGATTTGAAACTTCCCTTTTTGTCGCCTTCTACGACTCGCAGGTTCGAATACTGTCAAAGTTAAAGTCAAAGTTACATTGCGACTGACGGTCAGTCAGTCAGTAAGTCTTGGTGTCGAGCCCCATCTGGGGCTCATGACCAGATATTAATTATTACTGTTTGACAGTTGCGGTCTTATTTTTGTGGGGCGCCCTCTCTGACGAGAGGACGGGTCTGTCTTTTGCATATGCTGCTGGCCCTTGCCAGCGCGGTCTTTCTCGGGTCCGAGTTCCTTGGGACTCGCGACCATATTTTACTGTCTCAGATTTGAGGCTTCCCTTTTCGTCGCCTCCTACGACTCGCAGGGTCACGGTGGCCCTTGCCAGCGCGGTCTTTCTCGGGTCCGAGTTCCTTGGGACTCGCGACCATATTTTACTGTCTCAGATTTGAGGCTTCCCTTTTCGTCGCCTCCTACGACTCGCAGGGTCACGGTGGCCCTTGCCAGCGCGGTCTTTCTCGGGTCCGAGTTCCTTGGGACTCGCGACCATATTTTACTGTCTCAGATTTGAGGCTTCCCTTTTCGTCGCCTCCTACGACTCGCAGGGTCACGGTGGCCCTTGCCAGCGCGGTCTTTCTCGGGTCCGAGTTCCTTGGGACTCGCGACCATATTTTACTGTCTCAGATTTGAGGCTTCCCTTTTCGTCGCCTCCTACGACTCGCAGGGTCACGGTGGCCCTTGCCAGCGCGGTCTTTCTCGGGTCCGAGTTCCTTGGGACTCGCGACCATATTTTACTGTCTCAGATTTGAGGCTTCCCTTTTCGTCGCCTCCTACGACTCGCAGGGTCACGGTGGCCCTTGCCAGCGCGGTCTTTCTCGGGTCCGAGTTCCTTGGGACTCGCGATCATATTTTACTGTCTCAGATTTGAGACTTCCCTTTTCGTCGCCTCCTACGACTCGCAGGGTCACGGTGGAGGTATTCGACCCCGCCTCCACACGGGAGTTCGAATACCGCCGAATACTAACTGTTATATGTATATTGCACTCAGACTGAATAGGGAATACCTTGTGGAAGGGTTAATTTCTCCCGCTGTTACGCAACGAACGCGGGAATACGTGTCTGCCTCAAACAATTCGTTTGTAACGGTGGAAACCCCACTGTTAGACTTTCATTTCCGGGGCAATGATTTCCTAGGCTTCGCTGCCTAGGAATTGCTAGCCGTTGTATAGCAATGGATACGTTCTGATTCCAAATATTCCAGCCCTAGGCGGCACGACACAATATTAAAATGGATGCACCTAGCTCACGAGAAGGGTCAGTTGATGGCTTGTGTGAACAGGCGATAAACGTGGAGCAGTGTATGAGATGTTTAAGAGTAGCAGTAGGAGCAGG